TGTGCTAGTTGAAATTATATGCCTGCTTCAGATATAATATTTATATTTAACCAGTGACTTCTAAATTAAGAGGACGAGAACCATTTATATCCCGAATCACGGCAACTGATTACAATCATACAAAATGTTTCTTTTTATCTGGAGCTAAATATCTGCTATTGATACAGTTCATTACTTTTAAGAACAATTTAAAGAAAATAATTAATTAAGGCTGTAAAATGTGTGGATTCAAAGACGTGCGATTAGACGTCTGTACATGGAGTCATGAGCTAATAATAGTTTCTGATATTTAAAACAACAGGGCTACGTTTATACTATACTTTGTTTTTATAGTTTAGCTAAGTTTCAGAGGCCTCCATTAAATAACAGTCAAGATATACACGCAAATATAATTTGCTTGTCTATATTTAAAATTTGTAATTGTTTCGTGAAGATTCAACCATAAAACAATTGCCGGAAATGCAAGCCCTGATTATAAAAACTCAGGGAAAACCCCAACCTCGTTCCCAGGTATGAAATGCGTGGCGTAAACATGTCAATCAAATATCATTCTATAAATATGACGTTTTATATTTGCACAGTACATCGTGTACGTTTTTGTTGTAGAACTTGTGTTGTTCAAATCGAATATGAAGTAAAATCAGGAGCATATTGTCACAGGCTAATTTTGTATTTTAATACCCTCTGGAAATACCAAGGCTTTGGTACCCCTATCTATCACAAAATGTAACAAATCCAAAACAAAGTATGAGGACTAATATTTTTCCTATCATTTGACAGATTAAAAGTATTATTCAAGAAATATGTCCATTTTAATCATAACGTGATACAAAAATACTAAATAACATGCAAAATTCAGTGCCAAAGAGGGATTTATTTGGCGGTAGTTAAATTAAATATGTAAACATAATATGTTCTCAAACTGGCACAGTTTAATACCAATTGGCAATTAAAGCTCGCAATGCTATATATTTGGTTTGATACGAAGATAAAATAGTAAATACTCATAATAATTACAATATGTCCATGACCTAATTACTCAAAAATTTAGATTATTAAATCACATAATGGAACAACTTGCAATTTGCTACGCTCACTCGTTAGCAATATTCTCTTCAACACTCGAAATAAATTACATATTTCCGCACAACCATGTATAAATATTCTCTATACATTCCAGTTTACCTTTAATTTGTCAAGTGGTAGGCAAGATATTAGTCCTTTTGATTTGTTATTCTCTTGACCCATCACGGAAGTGATAGGAACTTGAAAAAATGACAGTTGCATACTTGCGTGTAATTTGCTCGGAACAATTTGCAATCAACATTGCAAGATTGATTGCAATGTTGCAATACTCATGGGAACAAACATCCGGTTTGACTGTAGTTTTGACTATAGATCAGTGCAAGACTGCTATAGAAGAAGATTTTATCAAAATAAAGTCAGGATAAAGTCTATTAATACCACGATTAATACTAATACTTCTCTTGAAAGCTTTTCGAAAGACGCCATCTTGTTTTAAAGCTGTTCTAGCCTGCGAACAGGTCTTCAAAACAAGGCTGATGGACTTAACGAGTTATCAACTTAACTTACTTAACTTTACTTTACTTTACTTTACTTTACTGACGCGATAGCAATATATCTGCGCTACGCGCAGATACAAAAACATTGAAAATGTAATATTCAAATTCAATTTTCTCACGAAACATTTTACGGTAATTACTGATTTTCAAATGAGTTGTGCTCCTGCGGGTTTTAACCAATTTTTCTCAAATTTTCACAGGACATAGCTAAATACGTCAGTTTCAAAATTATATTGCAGTCGTCAAAGAAAACGCCATATCAGCGGAATGACGAAATAAACAAAAAATTTCCGAACACCATTTTTTAGAACAACTATTTTACTGTATAAAAATGATATTTTCATAAATATAACTTAAAACCAGCAGGAGCACAACTCAAAAGCGTAAAGGTACCGCGATTTAAGATTTTCCTGAATAATTCTTACATTATTTTATTGTTTGTTAATTTTACAACTTTACCATATTTTGCATGCACTGGCGAACATTTGGTGAAAATTTGATGAAAATCGGACTGATATTGAGCGCGCAGTAGCGATTTTCCGCAAAACGCCAAAAAGGGTGTCCTGTAACCTTAATTAATTAGGAAGGTTATATCGGTGGCGCAGTCGTCAGAGCAAGCGCCTTTCACCTCTGAGATCGTGGGTTTGATTCTCGCTTGGGACTCATGTGAAAACATTCAGTCAACGCTCATGCTGAAAGTCGCGAGTTTTCTCCGGGTGCTCCGGTTTCCTCCCACAGGGAAAGTTGACAGGGTGGGTTAGGATAAACACGGTTAGCTCAGCAGTTAGCTCAGCAAGTAGCTCTCGTGTGCGGATAGTTTTCGTGAGGATTTGACCTCTCAAGGCCTTGAGGAAAATATCTATCGTGTTTAATATTTTTCGCCTCGCGAGGAAAAAATCGCAGCGTCTGCGGATGTTTTGAGCTAAGTGCTGAGCTGTTTCAATCAATTAGCCAATGACAAACCATGGTTTCTTCATGTGACATGGAACAAAATGGAGGAAAATGCAAATAATTTTGTTAATTATGTTGTTGTTGAGTAGTTTTCCCAACGTGTGCGGTGAAAATACATAGCTGAGCTAACGGCCTCGCGAGGCGGTTAGCTCAGCAAGTTGCTCTCGTGTGCGGCGGGCTTAAATTAGTATCACAATTGTTGTAAGGATAAAATAGTCTAGGCTAAGGAAGATGTAATTAAGTTAATTAGGCAAGCGTATAATACTCGATGTAAAGCGCATTTGATCATCATATGACCATATGTAAATTTACGCTATAGAAATGCTAATCTTAATCTTAAAGACTTATTAATACAAACGAAAGATTTTTAATATACCAAATACGAGGGCGGATCAAAAAGTTCTGTCACCAGAGGCTGCCATGAATTCCCAAAACAAGTAAGCTTTTAAGGTGTAGCCGGCATTTTAATCACAGTTATGTAAATTTTGTGCTTATATAATGCTTCTATAGAATTTAGCTACAGAAGTGCACACACCATCGTCCATGAGCAACTTTGTCGGTTAAAGAAGTGTGCAAGATGTGTCCCTCATCAGTAGACAACAGAGCAAAGATAACAAAGTCAAGGGGTGACAATCTGTTGCAAAATTCAATTGCATCATGGCAATGCATCTCCTCACAAAGGACGCCTTTCACAGTCTTATCTTGATCAGAATGGTATCAATTTGATAGAACATCCACCATACTCACCAAACTTGGCTCCTTGCGATTTCAGGCTCCTTTCAAAAATATAATCCACGGATCCACGACCTTGCTAAAGCCGTCCATGTAGCGATGGGGGACATACCTGCTTCAGAATACCGCCAATGCTTTCAGAAATGGAGAACGAGGAGGCAACGATGTATAGAAGTCGAAGGAAGCTAGTTTGAGCGAATGTGACTGTAATTTGTAACGTTGTGTGTGAATTATCAGAAATATCGGACAAGTGGCAGAACTTTTTTATCCGCGCTCGTATTACTGTTAAATTTTTGAGTTTCAAGATGGAACGTTTATTCCTCTGTCGTCAGCTTAATGAGCTTATTTTATGAATTTAATCTTGTACATGTTTATTAAATTATACCACTTTTGACGTTGTCGTATTTGTTTCTATCATACTTGCATCAGCGTCACCAGGAGACGATTGCCACGTATCATTGATTGATGGATTACTTGATTGCAAATCATTGAGTTCAGATGTATCGTCGGTTCTACTCGCATCATCGTCGGAAATTAACGGACGATACCGTTGATGCCAACATACACGCCAACCAATAACAGTCATAGCATATACAGCCATTGCTAAGAATACTGCTCCGATTAGAAAGAAATAGAACCCGTAAACAACAAACTATCAAGAGAGTGTATAATATTTTGTAAATAAATAGTCGAAATCACTAACTTCACTGAAAACTCTTATCCATGCATTAAAAACATTAAGTACAGTTAAGTGAGTATATTAAGTTAAGTAGACTGTTAACCTGGCTTAAAGATTTTTTCGAAGTGATGGACTTACCCGACTTTTCCAGATTCCAGTTATTGACAATGAACACGGTGTATAAAAAAGGTATATAATCTAACTCTGGCATCAGTTTTTTCATATACTTTTTCATATCAATAAAAGTCATGCTTTTATCTGTCAAACGACACATTTCTTGTATCATTGCGATCAAAAATGGTCAAAAGACTCAAAACCACAAATGGTCAAAGCCGGCAAAGCCATGTTTTTCCATATTTGGGAATAGAATGCAAAACTATTGTCGGAGTTTAGTTTTCATTTCGGATTCAAATTTAAGAACTTGAAAAAAGATGGCGCGACGTATTAGTTAATTATCATGTTTTGGTACGTTTACAGATTGGTAACTCGCGATTTAATCACAAAATTTAGGGGTCAAAACGACTAAACGTTTCCCATTCGGAAAGTGCGTTTAACGTACTACATACAGTATAATCACGGGACAAAGAGCGGCTGCGAAGGAGACTAGGGACTGAACGGTACCTTCCTGAACCTACAATTACAATGCCTGGTGTACATACCAAGATATCAACCTCAACCAACATAGTTCTATACCTGTTTCTTTGCTGGAAGAGCCAAGCCATGCTTCTCTGCAACAATTGCTGTTAGAATAGTTTGAAGTACCAACGCAGCAAACATATTACAGCCAAAGACCAAACCAAACCTATTCATTTCTGTTATCTTGGCGATTTGAAAGCTGATGACAAAATACAAGTTTAGAAAGATTTTACTTGAACATATAATCTAATTGTTACAGCTATTCTTGCTTAGTATAATTTATTTCAGTATTGAAAAACGGCCTTTGAGCTTTCTGATTGGCTACCTGAGCAGTAACTCTCACTCTGAGGCAAATAGTTACTGCTTAGACTGCTCTGAGCAGTAACTACTAACTATAATTGCTTTTCCCCAAAAAATAGCTGAAAATCAGACGGAAGTAATTAAAATTATTTATGCAAATTATATTCATAAAATAAACACGTGTATTAATAGTTGTATTTATAAATAAAAATTTTTCAATACTGAAATTATACTAAAACAATTAGTCGCCTCAGTGATTACAAGCCTACTGTACGTATATTCACTTTGCCTTTGGCTAGCAGTGAATATAGGCTTGTAATCACCTCACTTTCAGTGACTAATTGTTAAATAGTATGAGTACTACTGTGCCAATTAGTGCTGTAGTGCAGTACAGGGAATGAATGCTGGTCACCCAAGAAGTGTTCAAGTTATCACATACCAACAGAAACTTTATTTGTGTCAGTACATCCATGATGATTATATTAAAATAATATTATTCCAGAATAGGTCAATCCTGGTTCACCTAGCAGTAGTACTGCTGCTGAAAGCTAAACACATGGAAATTATTTTGCAGGGCTGGACACTGGACAGGAGTCTGGATGCACCCCATTAGTCCAAGTCTTAATATGTTTGAGAAATTTGGTTCAGTGGCTAAACTGTAAACCCTCTGAAGCCATTTGTGGTAAACCCTCTGGGGCCATTTGTTGGAAAGCCAGTGCAGTAAGCTTAATCTTATAGCCTCCTCTGCAAGCAACTCAGTGGGCAAAGGCGCAATACTTAACAGTGGCGGACATATCACAAAATATTGGGCAGGGAATTGTACACTCCTGCCTTATTTTATTTTGTCTAATGTTGGATAATTCTACTTGTAATGGTTTAAGAAGCGAAGGAGGGAAGTTTGTTAATTTGGGCACATCCATTATTTTGGTGAGTCAACAGTCATTAACACATTGAGTGGCAGCACCCTCCCCTTGACAATTAAAAGCATCTGCCGTTAGACAGATAGAATAAAACAGTGATGTAGGGCACATCTGGATGCACTGCCAGTTAACAGTCATGTTAATTTTTAAACCTTGCAGCCATAGGTTGAATTATGTTTACATTACATAAAGTCCAATTACAGTAGCCATATTACACCAATATTACAAATTACATAAAATCAACTAAACTTTGGTTAACCCATTGAGTGGCAGATTAACCCGTTGAATGGCAGCACCCCTTGATGAGTAAATTAATAATTGTCTGGCTCACTCTCCCCTTGATGACTAAAATCATCTGCGGTTAGACAGATAGAATAAAATAATAAACTAGGTACGCATTGCCACTTAAAGGATTGTGGTACCATTTTGCTTACCTGGCAATAGTAATGAGAAAAGTGTATATGACCCGAAACAGAACATAACTGCAATATGCTACCCAAATATTGTTGGTACCAGCCATAATAAACAACAGAAAACAGTCAATAATAGAAAACACTGCAAGACACAATTCACCCCAAATTGTCCAATTGATTTTTGTGAATGCCAACAAGACTGCTATGGTTGATGAAAACAAGTGCGTCATTGCAGTAACACCACCATTATAAATCTTATGTTCATGAGAAGGCCAGATTTCATCCCAAAGATTTTGAACATAATTTTCCACTTGAAGTTCACCACAGGTTGCTACAGCCCACCAAACTGACCATCGTAACAATAATTGTCTTGAATAGCAATTCTTGAATCCTTGTATAAAATCTATGAGATATGCTTTCCATTGCAGCCCTAGCTGCCGGTACCATGAATGGCCTTCATGGCGAGTATTAAATGCATGTGCAGAGCTGGGCACACCGGGTAATACTAACGAAAACAAGAAAGCAACAATGACACTTGCAAAAGACACATAATTTAGTGTTAGATATCCAGTTAAATCTAGTGAGATCAATAGTTGACCCAATAGGCCCGCCATCATCCGACCCACCAAGATTGCTGCTCTTGTGAAACTTGTAACTTTCTGGTAATGTTCCACAGTCACTGCAGCATAAATGTAAGAATAATAAGCGACCTCTGCCCCCATGGCGACACCATAGGCAACTTGCATGAGCTGCATGGACAACACACTTGTGCCCCAAATAAGCAAAACGCGAGTGGCAAGATAAGCCACAGCTTCCGCAATTATAACTGGTTTGTAGCGAAGGAAATCTGTAATAAAAAACACAAGAAACAACGCTACCAGGTTAGCGTACGTTGATACAGGATAAATTTCGTTCACTAGTTGTTCGTCTGTAAAGTTCTTTGGTGTTTCGCGCAGATATGGAGTAAGAAATGATTCCGAAGGTTTCATCTCTTTGAAGAAGCCATACGAACAAAGTAAGATAGTCTGATACCACCACATTCTTCAATAAACAGGCAACAAGTTTAACCTCCCTGGATTTATAAAATGGTAAAATTAAAGATAATACAATAAAACAGTGAAAATTAGTATCAGTTCGCGTCCAAAATTCACTAAACAGGAAATCTTGGCTTGCCTTCCCCTTCTTCGTTCAGAAACGCGCCAGCGATCACATAGGGATACATGAAGTATTCAGTACAGTATGGATGAGTTGTGCAAAGGAATCAACTTTGTCAACTTTGTCCTTGGTTGGCTAGCCAGCGTGGCCGGTTGGTCAAATTTTCGGAAATTTTAACCTTTAAAAGGGCTAAAAATAGCCTTCTCGAGTGCAAATGAAGGGGGGGGGGGTTGTCGGAAATTTGAAAGTTTTGTCGGAAATTTAAAAGGCTTCGCCCCCCACCAAAAAAAGTGAATTTCCGCCACTGGCTACAAGAAAACGGCTTTGAACGATTGAAGAGAGTTTTTGAAGGAAAGAAAAACTTTGTAATTCCAAAATTACGAAATGCTGTAGCTTCCAATTCGTACATGGGGTGGGGTGCATTTGAACGGGAATTACGATTTACAAATATATGTATGACCAAAACGTCAAAATCCAAATTCCGCGGACTTCAAAGACGACGTGAAAATGGCGTCAAAATGACGTGCACTATCAGTGGCGTAGCCAAGGGGGGGCGAGGGGGGGCGATCGCCCCCCCAATCGCTTCTAAGACCATTCTCGCGAAAAGTCTAAATCCGTATAGCAGTTGGGGGGGGGGGTACGTTTAACGAAATCCAAACTCACAATATAATTATGCCGTTGAGGTATGGAAATTATAGCTACCCAAGTTTGGGTAAAAATATCGAGTGCGCAAATCTGATATAATCATTTATGTACGGTGGCCCAGACGCGACAGCACAAAAACAGTTTTTGTATTTTTTGATTTTTTGATTTTTTGATTTTTTGATTTTTTGATTTTTTGATTTTTTGATTTTTTGATTTTTTGATTTTTTGATTTTTAGATTTTTAGATTTTTTGATTTTTTGATTTTTTGATTTTTTGATTTTTTGATTTTTTGATTTTTGTATTTTTTGATTTTTTGATTTTTTGATTTTTGTATTTTTTGATTTTTTGATTTTTTGATTTTTTATTTTTGGATTGATTTTTTTTCCTGTATAGATATACATACTGTAGCACTTGAATGAGCGGGCAAGGTTACTGATAATGGGTATATATAACATGATCGAAGCTGTGTAACACAAAATTAAGGTTAAGGGTTAGGTGCCGCGAATTTGGCATTTATCATGTTGATAAATTCGGACGCGTTTAACAATTTACTGGTATAATAAAATTCAAATGTGGAACTCATGCTGTAAATTACACTATACGTATAATCTTGATCAAAAAATTTCCACGACATATGGCGCCGGAAAATTGGCGCCGGAAATTTGGTGCCGGAAAAAATTTGCGGACATAAAATCGTTTATTTTTTGCCGACAATTTTCTTAATTTTTTGAGATTTCTAGATGTATTATTCATCTGGGTACTGGGATTTATATTCTGAGTTCATCAATCTTGCATCAATAAATTTTAAGGGTCCCTTGTTTTGGAGCCCCGCCCGAGATAAAGTTCCACTCTGCCTCTCTCCCGGCGATCCTGCATGCAGTAGATGGAAATTTATAACGAAAGATTCAATATATACAATTTTAGACTTAACTACAAACTTAACTACAGGAGCAGCTGCGAAAATGCTGTCAACTGACAGGAATCGAACCTGTGGCTAAATATAGAGATTTTTGGGAATATGACGCTGTAAATCTCAATTTGCGCTTGGGATTTTTCTTGAAATTTGTGCTTGAAATTTCCATCCTACATAAATCTTTCAATCTGTTCATATTTTATATAATGGCATCACCTGTACTATATATATACTGTTATATAAACAAGAACTTGTGGTTGGAGCTCGACAACTGAACTCTATAACTCAGTTGGTTAGAGCACTGCAACGGAATTGCGGGGCCGTAGGTTCGATTCCTGCTATAGTTCTATTTTCCGCAGCTGGTTATAGGTCTAAATTAAATATATGTATGAATCTTCCACTCGAAATGTTCATCTACATAAAACCTTCAATCTCGGGATCAAGTGGTCTTAGGAATCAGGGGCGTAGGAAGAGGGGGGCAGAGGGAGCGCGTGCCCTCCCTCCCAAATTGTTTCAAAGGACGAAAAGTGTCCCTTTTTGTGATGAAAA